TGGGAAGATTTGCATAACGCCGCCCAAATGTTCACGCAAAGAAAGAAGGCGTAACTTTTATTCTTGTTTATGTCTCCTCGCTCCGGCCGGGACACGGCATCAACAGTATGGTGAGGGAAGTAACATTTCCGTCACACGCTTGAGGTATTCGGCCAATCACAACGCACTGGATAGCTGGCCAATCACAGCACACCTCGCTTTTTCAGACCGATGAGCTTTGTAAAAATCGACGCGTTTCAAAAAGGCAGGGCATAGAGGAGAAACAATAATGTACAGTATGTGGAAAATAATGTGTTTTTTTTTTACTTTAAACCGCATAAACACATTTCATTACACCAAATACACAAAATAATGTTCTTTTTAGCAGCATCATATGACCCCTTTAAGAAAGAGTAATCCATTTTACTCACCCTATGACGAAGAGAGGCCCATATATTTAGGTTCAATTTTTTTTTTTTGCTGTTTAAAGTGATTTTTTTAATGTTCAAGGACTCATGCTTCTTGTGTCTGAACAATTACAGACAAATATGAAAAAAACGTTACATATGTGTTTGTGTTTTAGAAAGTTATAATATGAGGCTACGCTGTTAGCACGATGTTAGCTCTAAACTGTGCTGGATAATACAAGTTTGTTAAAATGGTAGGTGTGGGGTAATTTGATCCAGTGGATCACCCATTCTTATGGTTATAAAGTATTATTGTATTTCTATGTTACATTTCATTAATTTTAGACCAAACATATTGTTTTGAATTTAATCTTCCCCCCTGAAAATTTTAAATAGACCTTGTTTATGAAAATTGGCCATTGAAGTTTTTATGAAATTGTATTTCCCTGCACAATTAAGGCTCCAATCCATCACAAGGCACACACATAGATTTTAAGAAGTCATTTTATTGAATTTCTTTTCCTTTGATATAGCAGGAGCTGAAAATGTTCAGAGACCACTTTTTTTTGGAAAGCCATATTTTGAAAGCAGTTTATTTTAGATTCAAAGTGATTAATCCCAAAGATGCACCACATCCTGAAATTTATGTACATATTTAAGTTGGACTCATTACTGTCATGTGCTCACTTTAAACACACCGTAGGTTAAAAACTGGCTCAACTCACCCTGCTCCCCCTTATATATATATATATATATATATATATATGACCACACGACAAGCAAACATATACATTATATGTAACAAAAGTGGTATTTGTATATTTATTCTGACATGTTTATATTTTGTAGTGCTTTGACACAGACTAATTATGGATTTAAACAGCTATTTACAGCAGCAAATTATAATGTTTACATTTCAAATCTAGACACGTTCATAAAAAAATGCTCAAATCTACAGATACCATAAAATACAAACATCATGATCTGAAATGTGTGTGTGTGTGTGTGTGTACTTAATGAGACAACACATATCATGTTTGAAACATTTAACCATGATCATATTTTAAACTTGCCTATTTTTTACATAAAGTCTCAAAACATGCTTGCTTGAAGCAATAGACTATAAAAACAAACCTTCAAAAGCACCTATACACTCTGCTCATTTGAACAAATTGATTAAACGTCAGTATGCAGTAAATTTGTATTAGATTTTTTCTGGCACATTGTACGTATGCAGACTTCAGATGAATGCAAATTTCCTCTACAAGAGACATGGCATGGTCTCTTTTCCACTGTAATGATCAAATATCCTCATATCCCCCATCAACGGAGGTTATCTGACTGGATGGCAGTGTCTGGCAGGAAAGGTCCACGCAGGCAGATGAAGTCTGGTCTGCTGATCACTGAGCTGCTGGCCTCCATGCTGCCCTGCCACTGGAAATGAAAACTGGAGTGAGGACTGCAAAGTCTCAATGGCACCTGAAAAAGTCTCCTCAGAACAGCTTTGCGCAGGAGGATGTACACCCACGGATCGAGGATCTGGTTCCAGGTCGCCATGCGCACAACCAGGAGCATATGAGTGTATGATGTCTGATCCTCACCGTGATCCTCCAGGCTGAAGATGATGCCTGTTATCTGGGGAACAAACCATATAATGCATTAAACCAGGGCTGTCCAAACTCGGTCCTGGAGGGCCGGTGTCCTGCAGAGTTTAGCTCCAACCCTAATTAAACACACCTGAACCAGCTAATCAAGCTCTTACTAGGCATAGAAACTTCCAGTCAGGTGTGTTGAGGCGAGTTGGAGCTAAACTCTGCAGGACACCGGCCCTCCAGGACCCAGTTTGGACAGCCCTGCATTAAACATTTCACACAAAAATTATACATCTGCATGTGTGGCTCCAAACAGAAAAAAATTATTTTTCAATATGCTCAATTAACCAATTGTATTTATACATTGTATTTGAATTATGTGCCCTCCAGAAGCTTGCGTTCTGCAAGTGAACGGTGCATTATAGTGCCACCCCAAAGAGGCACAAAATCACTTTCACAGACTTTTAACTTAACTGTTCTCTCCTGGTGGGATGACCTGCCCAACTCAATCCCAGCAGCTGAGTCCTCAACCATCTTCAAGGAACGACTAAAACACATCTCTTCCATCTACACTTGAGCCTCTAACACTAGCACTCTCTATTCTATTTCTATTCTAACTACTTGTAAAAAAAATTGACCCTCTAACACTATTCTTTTTCTGTTCTATCTAGCTACATGTTTTGTTTTTATTTATTATAAAACACGACTCTCTAACACCAGCGGTCTCTATTCTTTCGACTTGTTTTCTTTTAATTTATTAAAAAAAACCTTGCTATGTGTACTGCAAGACTTGTGACGGCACTTACATATTACTGCTCTTTTGTTGGTTTTGATTGCTTCTGTTGTCCTCATTTGTAAGTTTCTTTGGATAAAAGCATCTGCTAAATGACTAAACGTAATGTAATATTTATTAAATAAAAATGTTGATATTTTTTAAATAAAAATACTGAAAAAATACTGATTAAATTACATTTATATTTAACACATTTAGTTTTAATAAATATAGATGTACTGTTTATAAATGTATATATATATATATATTAATATTAATTTAGAATTGAATTTTAAAAATCAATTTAAAAATTGTAAAAATTTGACTTAAATTTATTATTTTTTTAACTTATTAATTTTACCATTTAAATAAATTTATATTTACATCTATATACTTACATCTATATATTTTATGTTGAATTAACTAAGATGTCATTATTTACTCAGTGGGGGGAGATATTTTTATTCTCACGTTTATTGATAATTAATAAAAAATATAAATAATTACAGAATCTTATCTTTTCTGCTTTTCTTTTTTTTTGAGAGAGAGAGAAATAAGAAGTGTGAAAAATAGGACGTATTTTCTTACCAAAATTGGCCCCCAGCACACACAGGAAACCAGCATGATTGCCAAAAGCTGGCAGACCATCTCAGAATGGTGTGATGTGTTACGGCTATGGCGATGATGATCTCGGTCAAGTTGTACCCTACTCCGCAGGAGAGTGAGAAAAGTCACGCTATTGCACACCAATGAGACGAGGAGAGCCAGCAAACCCAGCGCAGAGAACAGTATCGTCAGAAGCACATCCACCCAATCGCGCGGCCCCTGCAGGCGGAAGAAGCACCAGCTTTGTGAACGCTGCACCTGGTAGGACCTCTGAAGCAGGAGGGGCAGCAGGGCCACCAGCAGACCCAGCAGCCAGGTTAAACCCAACAGCCTCCTGACGTGATGGGACCCCCGCACTGTGACGTGGAAGAGAGGACGGGTCACTCCGATGCAGCGCTCCACCGCCATCAAGCCTCCGAGCAGCAGAGGAGTCAAGCCAAAGAAAGCCATAGAAACGCCAAAAAAGTCACACAGAGACTTGTGAGGGTCAAATGTTTCCCAGGCTTTCTGTGAGGCGTATACGTAGAGAGCCAGAGAGCCGTTGATCAGGTGTCCCAAGAAGTCAGTCACCACCAGACCACTAGCAAACATGAGGAAGGCTGCTTTAGACTTCAGTCTGAACCTGCGGTAGGCTTTGATCAAGATGAAGAGGGCCAGAGTGTTGGAAGCGATGCCCACCGTCATCGAGATGGCAGTCGGGGTCACAGAAACGTCCTTTTTGGTAGAGCTCCCGTTACACACATCACTCGACACCAAGCACCCAGCATTAGCTGAACCATTATAAAGCATGGTCGTCAATTCACACTGCAAACAAACTAAATATTAGTGATGTTATTTGTGTTAAACAAAACTGATAAGAACTGTAGACTGTCGTTATTTACAGTATAGAAACCCAAATGTGAAATTAAAATGCCTTCGTTTTGTTCTCAGCCAGACTCTAAAAACAACACTAAACAGAATATGTAACTTTTTGTTCAGTTTTTATTTCCACAATTAGTTTCAGATGTATGTGAACATTTTTTAAATTGTTCCTATTATACTATTCTAGATTTCTACCCATTTATGATCAATCTGTTGTGAAAAGTTAAAATATAAAATGTGAAAATATAAGTAGGCTATTGAATATAGATAATCTAGATGAATTTATAGTTAACTTATATAAAATATTTATTCAAAGTTGTTAAATAATAATAAATTGCTCTGTTAAATAATAAAATGCTATGTGACTCCAAAGCTTTCCAAAAAGTTTAGTAATTAGTAACCTAAATCTTCATAAATATCCTATATAAACAGGTCTTGAGTTCAGAATTTTATTGAAAAGTACTTCCATAATTTGAACTCACAAATTATTGAACAAATCGTATCCACACATCAAATCAATATTGCTTCACTTTGTAGATCTATTATTTCCAAACAATTATTCCAGTTTTACTCACCGTAATCTGCTAATCAAGAGTCTCAGTGCTCCAGGTTCATTCACTCTTCCCGTGTAAATCCACGGACTGTGCTGGAAGAGTGTGTGATGAGCGCGCTCTGAATTCACCACAGTTAATGTGAGTTCCCCCTCGCGCGTCGTGGTGGTGCGATACGTGGTTTGATCAAAATGTCTTCAATATTGCAGTCCTATGGGTTTTGGTCTACCATTATAATATAATAAAATCATTTGGTCTGATTATGGTCCCGAACAGATTTTACAACATACTATTTTCAATCCTACCGGAGCTGAACACCCGCTGCGCGTGCCAAATCTGCCATTACGCACGGGATATTTCCTGGGGCATTGGCTATTGTGAAACGAGGTTCATTCGTTCATTCATATTTATTGATTAATAGAATTTTATGTTTAAGTATTAATAAACTGCATATAAAGTGCGATTTTTTTTAAATGTGGAAGTCAAGTCATTGCCATTTTTACAAAGTTTTGCTTTCTTTCAATCTTTCTTTATCAATTCATTAACTAACATTAATGGACAATGAGCAATACATTTGTTACAGTATTGTTCAGTGTTAGTTCACGTTAAATAATGTAATCGACAAATGTTAACAAATGGAACCCTGTAAACACGAAGAAAAAGACAGCGCTAGCCTTTATTTCTACATATTTTTATTTCATCAAAACGCACGGCAAAATTTTTTAATGAGGAAGACAAACGGCACTTTTTTTGTAGAATGATTCACAATGTGGCCAAATTCACTTGCAGGAACAGTTAGAAAGCAAAAGCACCTCATCCTTTTATAACAAAAGTAAAACATAAGCTAGATGGATTATGTTTTATATGTTTTTTTGTAACAAGTGCACAGCAGGATATAAAATTTACATCATAAAAGAGATTTGCATGAAGCACAGCCTGAATGTAACTTGGCAATTAGAGGGCTTTTTATATGAAGGGACTAAACTCAACCATTACTTTTCTTTGAAGTGTTCAAACAGCAGTACAGTTTATAAAACTGAAACACATGAGGATTGACAGAATAACTCATGATGTCTTTTAATGGTAGAGAGACAAACACTTATATTTTAAAAAATGTATACAATTCTAAAAATGTAAATAAGCATTATACATAATTTGTTTTGTTTTGGTTGCTTGTTTTGAATTTTTTTGTCAGTTTTCTGTTGAACAACACCGTGTAATGAATCAAATACCATTCAAACTAAATCAACGGATTAAAAGATAGGTCAGTCCTGAGTATGTATCAGTCTTTGCTTTCATCTTTCTCTGCTGAAGTCCATACTGCCAAATCTTCATATTTCCACAACAAGATCAACAGCACTTCAGACATGTAATCTCTTCAAAACATTCAATTTCTCTCCTCTGTCCTCCTTCACCACGTCTTTAACAGCTGATGATTTTGCCACATTCTTCACAGGAAAAACTAAAACAATCAGCAGTCAGTTCTTCTCAGCTCCACATACACAGGAACTCAAACCAACCTCATCCACTGCTAAAAATCCCCTCTTTTCCTTCTGTCCCCTCACTGAGGTAGAAGCATTCCCCTCTCCAGCTATCCTACAACATGCCCTCTAGACCCAATCCACTCACACCTTCTCCAAGCAGTCTTTCCTACACTTCTACCAGCACTTATTCACATATCATCAACACATCTCCTCTCACTGGCATTTTCCACACCGCATTCAAACAGGCTCTGGTAACCTCACTGCTCAAAAAACCTACATTAAACACTTCACTTATAGATAGCTACAGACCTCTCTCTCTCCTTCCATTCAGCAAAAACACTTGAACGCGTTTTTTTCAACCAGGCATCATGTCTTTCACAGAATAACCAACTGGACATTAACCAGTCAGGTTTCAGAAGTGGCCATTCAACTGAGACTGCATTACTGTCAGTCACTGTTGCCTTGTGGATTGCGAAAGCTGATTCCAAATCATCAGTACTTATTCTGCTGAATCTATCTTCTGCTTTTGACACTGTGAATCGTCACATTCTCCTGTCCACCCTCTGATCACTGGGCATCATGGGGATTCCACTTTGCTGATTTGAATCCTATCTCACAGGTAGGTCTTTCAGGGTGGCCTGGGGAGGGGAGGTATCCAAATAATATCAACTGGTCACTGGGGTTCCTCAGGGATCCGTTCTTGGACCCCTCCTCTTCTCCATATACACTACATCACTGGGACCCATCATACAGGCACATGGTTTCTCCTATTATTGCTATGCTGATGACACACAGCTCTTATCTTTCATTTCAACCAGATAACGGTAGCTGCACAGATCTCAGGCTGCCTGGCAGACATCTCGGCATGCATGAAAGAACATCAACTACAGCTCAACCTAGCAAAGACTGAGCTTCTTGTCTTCCCTGCTACCCCAACACTACAGCACGATTTCACCATCCAGCTAGGTTCATCAACAATTACCCCACCAAGTTTGGTCAGAAATCTTGGTGTAATCTTTGATGACCACCTGACTTTCAAAGACCACATTGCAAAAACTGCTCGATCTTGCAGGTTTGCATTGCACAATTAAAAAAAAAAAAAAATCAGGCCCTTCCTAATGGAGCATGCTGCACAACTTCTAGTCCAGGTCTGCTAAATTAATAAATGTAAATGTAAAGCCAGTTTAACATAACGCTTAAATTTGCATTTAACAGATGCTGTTGTGCAGAGTGAATACTGTACAAGTATGAATATTATCAGTATATGCATTTCCCTGCTAATAGAATCTATGAATTTGGTGTTCCATATGCTCTGTCTGATGTTTTTGATGTTATTATTGAAATGAATTGTATAGAGTACAATTCTGTTTTAAAGGTTTTTAGCATGAGAAGCAGCACATTTGAATACTTACATTTTTTTAGTGGTTAAACAAATTTTAATTTTAATTTACCAGATTAAAAAAAGCTTATCTTTTAAAGGAACGGTTAATCTAAATATGAAAATTTGCTGAAAATGTGCTCACCCTCAGGCCATCCAAGATGTGGATGAGTTTATTTCTTCATCAGATTTGGAGAAATGGTTCACCAATGGATCCTCTGCAGCTGAATGGGTGCCGTCAGAATAAGAGTCCAAGCATCCGATAAAATCACAATAATCCACAAGTTATCCACACAACTCCAGTCCATGAATTAATGTCTTGTGAAGCGAAAAACTACATGTTTGTCAGAAACAAATCCATCTTTAAGGCATTTAACTTTAAACTTCTGTCACTTCTGGTCAAAATACCAGCCCATAATAACGCTTCCTCCAGAAAAAAAAGTCCTCCTGCCGTCCTCAAAATCCACCCAGATGTTTGTTTAGAACATTTTGGACTGTTTTTTCTTGTAAACGGTGCTTGATCTGTGCATATTTCACTCCTGATTCAGACAAGACAACTTTTTCCCTGGAAAAAGCAATATTATACCGTAAATAGTAAAAAATGTCTGATGGATTGTTTTATTAAAAACAAAAATTTGTTTATTATTGATGGCCTGGTGTCATGCACTTGTGAATTATTGTGATCAGGTGTCTGGACTGTCATTCTGACGGCACCCATTCACTGCAGAGGATCCATTGGTGAACAAGTGGTATAATGCTACATTTGTCCAAAGCTGTTCCCATGAAGAAACAAACTCATTTACATCTTGGATGGCCTGAGGGTGGGAAAAATTTCAGCTAATTTTCAATTTTGCATGAACTATTCCTTAAAAAGCATGAACAAATATCTTTCTAATTGTTTTCAGCAACCTCTAAAACAACAGGTGTATCCAAGGACACAGCATGTACTGGAAAGGCCATTATGTCCACATGAAAAAGCAACGAGTTGTTTAATCCTCTGCCTTAAGTCAACATCATCACAGCTTTTAAAAAACACTCTAGATGAACCAAAGTCGAAGAACTCAAATGTAACATTCTAATCAGGGCTAAATTTCTGTACTGAAGAAACCTGAGCTGCAAATTGTTTTAATGACTACTTTATGATAAAAAGTCAGCCTGATGGGTCCAAAGAAGGACAAATCACAGACAAAATGCTGGACTAGGCAATATATTTCTTGTGGCAGGTTGTACGTACTTACCAGAAAAGGATTCTAAGTGGCCTAAAGTAAATACAAAAACCTTAAAATAAATCTATGGAAGCCTCTCATCTTGTGAAAGTAAGGCCATTTTACAACATTAACTTGATTGCTTCTGGTAAAACAGTGTGGCCAAAAACAAAATAAGAAGTGGGAATAAAAAGGACAAACAAAAATAAATAAATAAGACACCTCTGGCTCTGAAACAGTCGTATAGCACAGATTTGCACCATAACACAGAGCACAAAGAGAACTGAAAGAGAGGATACTTGTGCCTTGG